CCCAACTAATCGACCCAGCCCAACAAGGGCTGATGCCTGCTCGCTCCACTCCGCTCACTTCGCTCGGTCTCCGCTTCCCTCGCTACGTTCGCTACCTTCGCTCCGTTACGCTCGCAGGCATCAGCTTGCCTCCTTCCTTTGTCAATATATGAGTCATACCAACATTATGTTACGAAATTCTATGGGCCATAAGACTTTAACGTACTTAATTTTTCAAACGTAAAGTTTTTCTAAATGTGTCACTTTTGTAGAATTTGTGACGCAAGCCATTTGCGTCTATAATAATCATGCATGACTTTTTTTTAATGTATCATCATTATAAATTTTTGCAACACACCACATATGCGTTGTAAATTTTAATATGTGACACTTTATTTCATGCTTATAACAAATTTTGATGACAAAAAATTTATGTGTTGATAAATTTCAATGTGCAACACTTATTATAGCGTCGTGATTATGTATTTAGCAACTATATTTAATACGATTTCATTAAGGACTGCAATGGTCAGGTCGGGCCAAGTAGTAATATACCCGAACCTAGCACGCACACTTGTCCCATGGACCCAGACCTGCCCCATGGACCCGCTCTGGCCTGTAAGCAGCGACGGGTCTAGAAGGTCGGGGCTGCGACTTGGCCCATTCCGAGGCGGGCCGACCAACCATGTCTTTTCTTGCCCCAAATTAATCTTTTTTTATTTATATGTTTACTTGTTAAAACATACATTTGGAGAATATAAATTGAAACAAAAATTAGAATAGTCTTATATAGTAATATTCTAGCATTCCAACAGAAACCAATAGTCTTACAATTCAAAATACAAGGATTCAGACATCCCAAATCATGAAAACTATATAATATTCCAGTAATCCAACAAACATACCAATAGACTTTTCATTCTTGCTCCATGGAGACTGCTTCAAAGGTAACATGACGATGTTTGTTCGAGTACAAGTAACTTTCAAGCAAGCGATGATTCCCTTCGTTGTTCAGTTTCGAACATGTTTCGAAGGTCATACGCATTCACATGTCTTCTAGCACTTGAAACAAGTGTTTGTCAACAAGAGACATCGAGTAAACACGTTCGGGCTTGAAGTATATGCCAACAAGTGAATGTTCCTGACTGCTTGCACCCTTGGGGTCCCAACGGTACTGTTTTTTCCTAACTACGAGTGGTAACTTGGCCTAAAATAGTGTGAAGAGGTGATAAACAACAAAAGAAATATGTCAATAATTACAATTCTTGTAAACAAAATTGTTTTTCTTTGTTAAAGTAAATCCTTATTCAAGAAAGTTCGCGAACTTTACAAAATTTGAGATTGGACAACTTGACATGAGCATAATAAGGAAATAATTGTACAAGGGCAAAATTTCAAGTTTAGCGAAAACATACAAATGAGTAATCCATTACCAGAATGACATATTCATATCGTATCAGCATATACATAATAAACAATGATTGAATTCTAAGTTGAACCCTAAAGCTGAAAAGGCAAAGCATGAAAACAAAGTTTATTCCCTAATCAATACGGAGAACCTAGCTATTAAAGATCCTAACTGGCAAGAAGCAATGTATAAAGAACTAGTTGCCTTAGAAAACACAAGTACTTGGATTTTAACTGATTTGCCCCTGGTAAGAATTGTATTGACTACAAATGGGTTTAAAAGGTAAAGTATAATTCAGATGGAACCTTAGGTAGATACAAAACTAGAATAGTTGTCAAATGATACACTCAAGAAGAGGGGATTGACTAGTTTGATACTTTCTCTCATGTTACTCAAATCACCACAGTTAAGTCAGTTAAAAACTGGTTTCAATTAGATGTTAATAATGCTTTTCTATATGGTGATATAGATGAAGATATATACATGACCCCACCCTCTGTTTACATGACTGATAATTCACTTGGTCTACAAGTTAACTAAAAGTTTATATGGCCTTAAACAAGCCTCAAGACAATGGTTTCATAAGTTTACTTATTGTTTATTGAATTTTGGTTATACTCAGTCTAGTGTTGACTACAGTCTGTTTACTACTTCTTCCACTTCTTTTACTCCTCTTTTAGTATATGTTGATGATATTGTATTAGTTGTGAATGATATGACTAAAATTGATTCTATAAAAGCACACCTACATGATTGTTTCACCATTAAAGACTTAGGTAAACTAAAATACATGTTAGGTTGCTCAATCAGAAAATGGTATTAATCTTTGTCAAATAAAGTATGCATTTGATATTTTAACTGATATTGGTTACCTTGACTTTAAACCTACTAATTCACATATGGACTCAAACATAAATCTTATTTCTGTCCATAATGACGAATTTGATTTAGTTGATGCCACTTCCTATGGAAAAATCATAGGGAGATTGCTTTATCTTACCATCACTGGACTTGCTTTATCATTCTGTATACAAGCATTAAGTCAACATGTGGTTGCTCCTACGCAACAAAATCTCACAACAAGAGTGCTCAAGGTACCTCAAACATACAATTGGCAAAGGTATATTCTAGCCTAGAAACTCTGCATTATCATTACGTGCATTTGCATACAGTGATTGGGTAGGATTTGTTGATACTAGAAGAAACATTACAGGTCATGCCTTTTTTATTTGATCTTCTTTAATATCATGGAAGTCTAAATAGCAACAAACTGTTAGTAAATACTCTGTTGAATCTTAATATAGGGCACTTGCTTCTACAACTTGTGAGGCACAATGGCTATTATATTTACTTGCTGATTTACAGATTTTTCATTCTTTTCCGGTGACCATCTTTTCTGATAGAAAATTTGTAGTTGCTTAGATGATAATCCAATTCAAGATAGAAGACCAAACACATTGAGATAAACCGCCATATATAGTTAGAGAGAACCTCTCAAGAGACATCATTCAGCTGCATTTTGTCCCTCCTTTAGATCAAGTTGCACACATCCTCACCAAACCACTAGGAGTTCAAGCATTTCATCAAAACATATCTAAGATGAGGATGTTGAACATCTATGCTCCACTTGCGGGGGTGTTAGAATAATAAGCGGACTTTTAGCCTTCGTTTTGTAAAACACGTTTTTAGGTATACACTACAAAAAAATATTATATTCAATGGCACATCCTATGGTAATATATTCCAATGAAAATTCTAATGAATATTTCAATGGTATAGCTTCCGTTGGAATAATTCCAACGGAAACTCTAGCGAAAATATTGGAATGTGTTTTTCATTAAAATTTTAGATAGAATTTGATTATTCCAACAACTATATTTCTAGCAGTTTTTTATCGTAAGAATTTCAATTGAAATTTTATTATTCACCCCCTTTAGAATCGTCAAAATCTAATGGAAAACTCATTCCAACGGAATATCTTTGGCAAAATTTCATTTTTGGTCCATTATATTGGTCATTTTCCAGAAATGGTCCACTAATTTGGCAGACATCAAACTTGATACAATAAGTTGTAAAATTCATCATTTTTAGTCCATAAGCCTACGTGGCATTTTATCGGGCGAATACGTGGACAAGTTTGATGTCCGCCACGTAGGCTCGTTATCCAGCCCGAGTGATTAATGGACCAAAAATGATGAATTTTACAACTTATTGTATCAAGTTTGATGTCCGCCAAATTAGTGGATCATTTCTAGAAAATGACCAATATAATGGACCAAAAATGAAATTTTACCGAATATCTTTTGTTGGAATCGTTAGAATCCATTGAGAAACTCTTACGGAAATAATAACATTTGAATATCTATTGGAGTTGTCGTTGATCCGTTGGAGTTTTTCATTAGAATTTTATTATTTTTTGGAAAAAAAACGCTTTTTAGCCCGTAACTGACCCCTTTTTTTATTTTGGTCACAGTAAAAGTCTATTTTTTTGAAATGGTCCTTTAGGTAAAAAAAATAGTTTTTTTTGGTCCTCTGACCGCCTGTAGCAGGTCACCGTGACCGGCTGTGCTTACTTGTAATTTCATTTCATTTTCTCTCTTTTTTCTTTTGCCGACGTGGCAGTTAGGTCACAGAATTATAAAAAAATTACCAAAATTAGGATCTGAGGCCTCTCGCAACAAAAGATGGGCCTTACCAAAATATATATAATTAAAAGTGAATATTGATAGATATATAATTGAAGTCAAGTATTTCATATTAGATGTTGTAGATCAAGTGGCAAAAGGATTCTCTTTTGTTGCAAGAGGTTCAACTTCTGGTTTTGGTTTTTTTTTTATATATATAATTTCGCCTCTTAATTGCCACGTCAGCAAAGAAAAAATGAAATGAAGTTACACGTCACGTGACCTACTACAGGCGGTCATAGCACGAAAAAACTTTTTTTTTTCATCTAGAGGACCATTTTCCAAAAAAACATTTACTGGGACCAAAACAAAAAAAAGAGGGTCGGTTAAAGGACTAAAAAAATATATTTTTTTTCCTTATTTTCTTGTAGTGATAGTAGCACTTTTACTTAGTAGCCTACTCTTGATCTGTCCGTGCTGTAACTTACTAAGGGTCTAACCTCTTCCTTTGTTAAAAAAAAAAAAAAAGTCCAAACTCTAAATTGATACAACACTATTCATTTTTCATGAAATACAATCTATCTTCTTTCTCTTTCTCTCTTTTGCATGCTCTCTTGCTGCAATTGTGTTCATCACAAATCTTTATGAATATTCTGAATTTACCAAGAAAAAAAACTACGTTGCTGAATCCAAAAAAATACGTTTCTATAACCTTCCGATCGACTCGACGTGTTTACAATATTGGCGTAATCAAGTTGATAAGTATGTTTGACTGTGAGTTGCTGCACATAAAAAGTTGAAGAAATTAAGGAAGGATTCAAGCGGCAAGAGGTGCTATAGTACGTATATGTCAGCACAAACACCCAACCACCTTATCCCATTTAATACCGATTCCCAAACGCCCTATAAATAGATACCCATATCAGGCATACTCTTCATTGTCTTCTCAAATTGATCAGTAGCTTTTGAAAGCACAGAAAAATTAAAATATGAAGTTCAAGTATTTTATTCTTCTTGCCCTTGTTGCTCTTTTTGTGTTTTCATCTGTTTTGGCAGATGAGCATCAAAATGAAATAAAAGGTATAATAATATTATATATTATAATTAATCTATTTTGTCAGATTAGCAAATTATTTATTTATTTATTTATTTATTGTTGGTGTATGTGTAGGTGAGGAGCCGAAAGAGATCAACCAAGGTGGCAGAGGCGGCGGCGGTGGTGGTGGTTATTGCGGCGGTAGGTATTGCTGCGGAGGGTGGGGCCGATATGGCTGCAACCGTTACTGCTGCCGCCAGTCGGGTATGACATGAAATATATATATATATATATTTTTATTTTTTTTAA